CCACCAGAAAATCCGTCCAACATGGGATTGGTATAGGACGGAGTTTGGTAAACTTAGAGATAAGGTAATCCTGCACAGGATGTGCAGGAGCCAGACTTTAATTTAATCAATTAGGCTGGAGGAGTTGATCTCCTCCAACTAATACATTTCAACCTTCAGTTGATTTTTCCCAGCCGACTCTTCAAGTCGCATTCTTTTTCTCTCTCTACTTCCAATTCACTGTACAAAATTCACTTCGCACTTACCTATACAATAAATATTTTTGTAAAAACTTATGAGTTTCAGTCCTCATGTCCGCTCTCCCACAACTAAATGAGCATATTTCCGGCACACCCACAATTTGAGTAGAACCATCAGGTCACAGCATCTTGCAGTGAATGTTCTTGTTCTCCATGGCATCACAGTCTTACGTATGAGAAAGTGATTGAAGATGACCTGGAAATTATTAATCCACAAATACAGAAAATGTGCGAGGATAAGAATTCTAGGACCGATATTAAAAAGGCAATACTGGCCCAAGCCGAAAAAAATACAAAAGAATTAGAGCATGAAGTGGCCTTTATGAGAAAGGTTCAACTATCGGCAGGTCAATATTTAAGACAGCATTCAATTGCTCAAGCATCTGATGGATATCTTGATAGGCTAGAACCACTTCAAGAGGAGGAACTTAAGAATGTTGAGGGACGTAATGAGTAAAAACTGGAAAAACTGAAGCAACTTATTGCCTCCTATAAGGAGGAAAAAGAAACCTTGCAGAGACTTGGTTCAGAAGGGAGTAGTGGCAAAGGCAGCATATCTGTAGAGACAGTAAAAGATTTGCTGAATCAACTTTATAAATTACCCAGACAGGGCTCCGCAATTAAAGAGTTATTGGAGAAAAGGATGTCGACTGGTTCTGTCGTCGTGGACGAAATATATCACTCCCCGAGTTTGAGAAGGTATCACTTGGCTGAGAAAAAAATCACCAAGTTGCCTGATTTGGTGAAACTTACGCTGAAAAAGTAGAGACGCAGTTAGTTAAAGTGTTACTAACACTTAAAACTTCACAATAAGATATGTAACCTAATGTATAAACATATCTGCCGCCTGGTATAGATTTTGACTGTAGATATGTAATTATAATTTCAAATTCATAAAATACTAATGATTTGTTGAATCTAATATTTTAGTTCCTGTGAACGACATGCAAGAAAATCTAATATATGTAAATATGACCTAAATAAATGAACAATACAATTTATCACATGTCTAATATTACCAATGTTAAGCTACTTAATCGTATCAGCATAGTCATCTAACCAAACTCATTTCTCGACATCATTTCACTTATTTTCCACTAAGCACTTAAAGCATATACGTTATGAGGTTTATATTAACACAACAAAGTCAGATAAGTAATTTTGAAGCAACATATTTTTGAATTTGTTAGTTGTCTGTTAAGTTACGGCACGTTGAAAACCAGCGGATCTGGCTAGAAATGCGTTTAAACTTCACGCCTAGCGCGCAACGCAGAGCGTTATGAAAGATACAAAAATGCGGATAAGCTTATTCAGTGTTTCTGCGGGTCTCTGGAAAGCCTATCCTTTATAATACAAGCTAAAGCCACTTTTGAAATTAGCGTCGTTGTGATTTTTTAGTATAGATAATCGAAAAATAAGACATTTTTGTTCTTTCATATTTTTCGAAAAAGTGACCCCGCGACCTGTTAAAAACATTTAAATTGTGCTATTTAACATGGATGTATACGCAAAATAGCAAAATTTCAATGTTTTTTAACAGGTCACGGGGTCACTTTTTCGAAAAATATGAAAGAACAAATATGTCTTATTTCTTGATTTTCTGTACGAAAAAAAATCACTACCAGGCTAATTTCAAAAGTGGCTTTAGCTTGTACTGTAAAGGATAGGCTGTCCAGAAACCCACGGAAACCCTGGGCTTATTTCTGGGGTGACGAAATAAAACTCATCCCATGCAAATCTTGGTTTTACTGATAAAAATATCAGCACGATCGAGGAGCACGTTGTTTCAATTTGACGTGTCACTCGACACGCGTTGGGCAACTTGCGTTGAAGGACGGGTCACTGTGGTATTTTATTCAAGTGATTATTGAATACTTGAGCATTTACGCGACACGGGGAAATATTTCACAATGGAAAGTTACAAGTTTATTCTGCGCATCGATTTTATCTATCACCTCGTTTTTCCCTAAATTGAGAAGGGTGATCTCATTCTGAATAGTTTTACAATCGATTTATATAACTGATACGCATCGTCTGATTGTGTTTTTTTACATGTATGGCCTAAAAACATTTCCACTCGTGCATAATTTGATTGTGAATTAAAATGATAAGTTTTATCTCAAACATGAATCATCGAGTAAAAAAGCTTGACTATAAGAAGGGCCAGAGATATATGTATGGGAATTTTGCAAATTTCCTAAATTATTTTGGTGCAATTTTAATTAATCAGAATAGCAATAATGTAAATTTTATAAACACATTTGTATGATATATGTGCATGCTGGATTTAAAAAAGGTATGTGACGCCTTTACGTATAAACCTAAAGTTAACTATTCGACTTATTTAATTAATAAATCCACAAACCTCTAGAGTCCATAAAATCACAAAAACGGAGCACAACAAATTACCCCCACCCAGTTGCATTAGATGTAATTACTTATTTAGATATGTAGAAGTACATAGAATTATAATTATGCACAAACTTGGACTCTGGTATGTATTCATATTTGCATATAAACAATTTTATGATGAGTAAAAATTCAGCATAAAATGCGTCTATACTTATGTATACATGCCAGAGTCCAACTTTATGCATAATTATGCTTTATGGTTGAAATTTTAAAAGAAGAAACCTTTACTATCCTGGCTTTGCTGAAAGGTGAGTTGGCCGATATGTCGAAACTCGTTATGGAAAAACTTCAAAACCCAACCAATTTTCCAATTTTGAACCGATTTTCGAATTTCTAAATGTTTTGGAAACCTCTGGCCGTGGGGCAAATTATACATTCCAAAATTTTGAAAATTTTGACCCCACTCACTCTAATTCAGGTCAGGAGGTCAGAAAAATAGGCCGAATATTTTCATAATTTCGGGCCACGCCAAAAAATTATCCCTATCTGCTCAATTGTCGTTTGTTGTTGAAATGACCGTTGACCTTGTAGATTACACGTAATTTTGAAACCACAGCCCAGTGGGTGTGGTTATCAGCGGTTTTCTCATGCATTTGGGTAAGTATGTCGTGTGACATATCATTTTCATCAGAAAACTGAGGACACTCCGGATAGAGTGTCAAACTTACAAAAACCAGACCCCCAGTGGGTGTGCCCCTTTATTCGATTTTGATGAATTCTAATACAAGTATGTCATGTGACATATCATTTTCTTCAGAAAATGAAGGGCACCTCGGCTGAAGCATCAAATTTACAAAAACCACACCCCCAGTAGGTGTGACCCTCGGCGTCTTCTCGATTGTATCCAAAACATGGCTTGTGACACATCATTTTTCTCAGTTCTACGAGGGGATCATCATTGAATAATTGTAATTTAAAACCCCACCCCCAATGGGCGTGGTCATTTCTGACTTTTAACAATTCAGGTGAGATTCCCTTATCCGGCTGAGAGAAGTGTTATATTGCATGACATGGTCTTGATTAAATCGAAAATTCGCTATCAACCACACCCATTAGGGGTGAGGTTCCTAAATTTCAATAATTCGATTGAGATCCTCCCATCGAGATTAGAAATATGATATATCACATAACATGGTTTAATTTAATTCCAAAAGTCAAAATGACCACGCCCACTAGGGGTGTGGTTTCAAATTATAAGTATTCAATGTTGATCCCCTCGTAGAACTGAGAAAAATGATGCGTCACAGGCCATGTTTTGGATACAATCGAAAAGACGCATAGAGTCACAACCACTGGGGGTGTGGTTCCAATTTTCTAATCGATTAATCTGGATCTCCCCATCGAGCTCAGAAAAATGACATATCACATGACATGGTTTCGATGAAATTGGAAATGGGCCGAGACCACGCCCACGGGGGGGTGTGGTCGCAAAATTTTTCTTACTCAGTCGAAATCTCCTCGCCCAGCTGAGAAAAATGATATGTCACACGACCCACTTTCTCTAAAACTGGCCAAAAGCGCCGAAAACCACACCCACTGGGGGAGTGGTTTTTTTAAATTTTATACCTAGATTGGAGTGCCCTGACGTTTCTGACAAAAATGATATGTCACACGACCCACTTTTTCAAAAACTGGTAAAAAGCGCAGAAAGCCACACCCACTGGGGGTGTGGTCTTGAAAGTTTTTGTAATGACCTAGACGGCCACCGATAACCTAGGCAATAAGTCGAAGTTGTGTAATCAAAATATTTTTTGGGGTCGCCTGGGAGTACATAAATATTTGCCTCGTTTTTATGACCTTGTGACCTGAATTAGAGTGGGTGGGGCCAAAATTTTCAAAATTTGGGAATGTATAATTTGCCCCACGGTCAGAGGTTTCCGAAACATTCAGAAATTCGAAAATCGGTTGAAAATTGGAAAATTGGTTCGGTTTTAAAGTTTTTCCATAACGAGTTTTTGGCACATCGGCCAACTCACGTTTCAGCAAGTTTCTTCTATTAAAATTTTCACCATAATTCTACTGATAAATAATCATCAGCTCGTTTGAACAACAACAGTATAAATTTGTTTGTCCTCTGCTCCAGTCTCCAGTCTGTCAGACAACCCGGACCGTTTAATGTATTTACATACGTAATTTCACAAGCATAAGTATACTTATTGGTAAAGATCCCATTGTCCAGTCGTGGTTGAAGTACTGTTTGACTCAATAAAAGAAGCCCCGTATCCATGGTGATGTTCAGTCCAGAAGTGGAAAGCGAGAGTGATTTTTGTGTAAAAAAATAAATTATAGTGGGATCGGCGTACACAAATATTGTATTTTATAGTTAGCATTTTAGATTAAGAGATTTTCTGAGGATGGTTTCTGCCGTGTTAGTAGCTTTGGGTGCGGTACTCGTATACTTTGTCTTTTTGAGAAAACCGAGATGGAAAAATTCTCCACCAGGTGAATTTATTTTGAGATTTTTGTAAATTGTTAAATAATTTTAAATTGCACTTTACATGAAATTTATTTTTTTAGGTCCAAGAGGATTACCTTTCCTGGGAAATTTACTACAGACGGTATTAAATTGGAGATATTTAAAAATATAAAGAATTCATTACGTAATTTTGTATTAAGTTTTAAATTTCGAAAAACACTTCAATCGTCAACTTACACAAATAATAAATTTCAAAAATCTTTTGAAAATAATGTTGTAAACAATTTTTTTAACGACAGGACAAATTTCAACACCTCACCTTCACCAAGTGGGCAAAGGAATACGGACCACTTTACAAAGTGAAGTTTGCCTCGTTAAAGTAATAAATCAACTTTACTAAACCCATAAATTCTCTTTACTTAATCCGGTAATAAGTTGTTATCAAAATGAAACCGCTTAGTGAAAAAGATATTACCAACGAAGCTGAAAAATAATACAGGTCGGTAACAAATTATTACAACGACATTAATCCCCGGGTGATAATGGCCCTGACACAGGATTATTTTGGATGTAGTCATTATTACGGTATCAAAAAATTGGAATATTTTTAATACCCGGTTTTATACGATTTCGACTTAATTTAAAAAATTGGTTTCCGAAAACTTGAAAAAGTATTTTCCGATTTTCGATTATTTCCCAGTTTTGATTTTTTACGATCAGAAAAATATAGTCGATTTTTTCGAAACCTGTTTTAATGAATCATACAAAAATACATGTATTTTCAGCATGATTGTCGTCTCGGACTATAAAATGGTGAAGGAAATATTTTCCGAGTCCGCATTCTCGGGACGGATGGACTTTACCGATTTCGACTTCATCATGGACGGAAAACTGCACGGAATTATAAACACCGAGAGCGAACATTGGGAAGAACTCAGGAGATTTACGCTCAGACAACTACGCGACTTCGGTTTTGGGAAGAATTCGATGGAGGACTCGATCATGTTGGAGGTCAACGAGCTGATCGAGGGACTAAAAGCTGCGGATGGAAAGCCAGTCAGTAACGTGAAGGAGAGGCTCCTTTTTGCCGTGGTCAACGCCCTGTGGGCCATTTGCACGGGGGTCCGGCACAAACATGGTGACAAAGAGTTGATCGGAATGACGGAGAAAGCGAACAAGTTAGTTTAGAATACATTAAAATAATGTCCTTCAAAATTATTTCCAAGTTACAAATAATTTCGATTTTCTAGTGCACTTATTTTTTGCAGATTTTAAATATTTCCGAAAAGTAATTTTGCAAATAAAAATAATAATGCTAGTGCAAACATAAATTTTGTTGCGAGGGTTACATATTTTTTACATTCTAAATTTTTAGTGCAAATATTATTATTTTCGTTAAATAATTTTGAAGACTACAATCTGCTTGTGCGAAATATTTAGCAGATTTTAAATTTTCAGTGCAAAAATTTTTCCACATTTTAAATATTCCCTACCCGGTAATTTTGAAAACTTAATTTGTTCAAATTTTTAAATCTCATGTACAAATACAATTCGCTGATTTTTTTAAATTTTAAATCCAGTTTTTCCAATGTTTTTTTTGTAAGTAACTAGTACACATCTTGTATTTCAGAGCATTCGAAGGAATCTTGGAGGGTGGTGGAATCATGCTATTTATGCCATGGGTTGCAAAAATGTTCCCAAAGTGGTCTGGATATGCTTTAGTAAAGCAGGAATTGCTCAATTTTACCAACTTTTTGCGAAAACCAGTCATCGATCATAAGAAGACGAGACAAGAGGACTTTGACCGGTTAGAATTTAGAAATGTATGAAAAAAGTCAAATTCTTTAGTTTCCTATTGTACTTTTCTAACTATCCTAGCGATTTTACCGACGTATTTTTGAGAGAAATTCAGAAAACCACAGATCCTAGTTCTGCATTTAATGGACAATTAGGAGGTAATTTTTTCGGGGTTTAACACATTAAAGGGAATCTTCACAATTTAATCCACAACTTTATACTTTAAATTTAACCTTATAACTTTAAAAATTACAAAAAATGAGTAAAAAAAATTTTATTCATAAAAAAATCGAATCATTAATTAAAGTGTGTTACTAATAATTTAGAAGACAACCTGGCTGCCACTTTGGGCGATTTATACTTCGCCGGAACGGACACAACTTCCACAACTTTGTCCTGGATGATGATCTATCTGAGCAAATTTCACGACGTCCAGAAACAATTTCAGGAAGAGATTGAATCCATTACGGGAAATAGCAGGCCAACCACTGTTTCAGACAGGCCCAAGTAAGAAAAATACTTATAATGCGATGGTGTGAAGTGCAACTCTCAGATTTGGCTGAAATTTTATGTCGTCCAAGTAAATACAACCAACGTTTCTTCGGGCAGTTTGGTTCGAATTTGTCAAAATATTTGAGATTAAAGCTGAAAAACGGGCGACTTTTACTAACCGGAAGAAGCAAACTCCACTTCCATGCTTTTTAAAGGGAGAAATCGCCCCTTTTTCAACTTTGACCTCAATTATTTTGACGAATTCGAACCATTGCACAAATTGCCTCAACAAACGTTGGTTGTATTCACTTGGACTACACAATTCCAAAATTTCAGCAGAATCGTAGAGTTGCACTTCACACCATCGCATTGTTAGATTGAACCACAATAATTAGCTTAATGTTTGAAGAAAATTCAAAATTTGACCAAATTTCTAAATATTACCGGTGAATTTGTAACAAAACAATTTAGACTTTTTAAAAATAGATCGGCCAACAATTGCGTAAAGTCTAAGTTCTAAATTTATAAATATTTACTAAGAACAGACAATTTAATTTTAAATACTTCAAATGTTTTGCTGCAAAAAAATATTAAGAGGGTTTGATCATAAAATCCAAGCTTATTTTTTACAGGTCAATCTTTCAAGAAAATCTGAGCAAATATCCCTAGTGAATTTGCAAAAAAAGCTAGCAATTTTTGAAATATTTAATAGGCTAACAATTGTCACGCAATCTTGCTTCCAGATCTGTCAACAATTTACATAGGTGGAAACTTTTTCTGCAAAAACTGTATACAAAAAATACTTGCGAACGCTTGGTCATAAAATCTTCATAACCCGTATTTTCCCTCAGAATGCCCTACACTGAGGCCCTAATGGCCGAAACGCTCCGCTTCTCCACCATCACCCCCCAAGGGGTGCAACACAGGGCCATCAAGGACCAAGAATACAAAGGCTACCTCATCCCCAAGGACACCGTCATCACCGCAAACGTCTTCCACATCCACTTCGACCCTAAAATCTGGGGCGATCCGGAGACCTTCAGACCCTCCCGATTTTTAAGTCCGGACGGAAAAACGTTTAAGAAGCATGAAGCCCTCATTCCATTTTCGACCGGGAGGCGCCAATGTCTTGGCGAATCTTTGGCGCGAGACAACCTCTTCCTATTTGCGACCAATATTGCGCAAAGGTTTGAAATTGTGTTCGACAAGGACGGCCCAGATAACGGATTCGAGTCTAAATTATCCTTCATTTTAACGCCGAAACCCTTCAATGTCATTTTTAAAGATAGATTGGCTTAAAATAAACTAAAATTGGTAAAGGTGTTTTAAAATGTGGGAACATTCTGGGCTTGTTATTGGAAAAGGTTCATGATACGCTGATTCCTTTAGCATGGACCATAAGTCATCGATTCAGTTCAAGTCCAATGAATTTCCGGAGCACACCCCCTTTTCCACACTGTTCCAACTTGCTCTTCTACTAGCTTAAAAATATTTTGCTTAAAATTATTTAGAAATGTTAAACCCGACAAAGGTTAGGTAAATTCTTACATCGATGCTGATGTACGTGTCGCACGGAAGGAATTCTTAATGGATTAGCTGTTCAGAATTGTTGCAAGAATTATTCTAGGATATGTTGAAATAATATCAAATGTATTTGTATAATATTGTTCAAAATAAGTGATGACACCTTGTAACCAGGGTTACAAGTGGTATATATCACCTGGAGGGATTTAATGAGATTTGATGTTAGTATCGACCATCTCAGGTAGCCGTGAGTGAGAAATAATAAGTTCTACCTGTTGTGTATGACGGCGTCCGCTAGATGGCGCTGGAAAATGTCTTACAAATCTCACTAGTTGTATTCCCGCTCATATTTCTCATACCGATTTCTTTGCGTAAGATTTGACCCACAATTTATTTGCCTCAATATAGTATAAGTAATTCGTACTTATCTCGGACTTCTTGCCCGCGTCAGGCACGGCCCTGGATGGTTATTTATCAACAACAAATTAATCGTTTTGAACTTTCAGGAGGTCAATATGATATTTTTCTTTCATGTTTCCTTGAAATGAGGAGGGAGGATGGTTGACCAGTAGTCAAGAATTAAGTTGTCTCCTCTTTTAATGTTCGCACCATAATTATTAACAAAATGTCTCATTTACGGTTCACATTGGAATTACGCTTATGAAAGATTATTTCAACAATTGTCCCACAATTTTTTTATACATGAAGGTTGATGTGTGTTTATGCTGAAAATAAAATGTATAATGAATTCTGTAATCCTACCGTATAAAAGGATTTATTTTATTGTGAAAATTAAAATAATTGCACAATTACTTTACCGTTGGACTAGGACCAAATTGCATTTCGTTCACAAAAAAGTCAAACAACATCATTTTGTTCTAGAGCTTATCTATCATTTATCAAAATACGTAGATATTGGAATATCAATAATTCGTTAAACGCCCCAATAACAAAATAATTGGAAACCCGCATAGCGAATTTTTATCAGGATAAAGAGCAAGAAAACGAATAAATGAAGGCACTACAGAGTTTGCCAAGACACTTGATAATTTAGGCCAAAATTGCACCAATTCATGATTTAATTTACCCCTGACTCGACTAATTGGGAGTCAATTATCCAGATGAATTATGGCTTGTTAGAGCTCCAGCAAAATGTTGTCATTCATTAAACGCGTATGGTTTTGATATTAATGAAACAAGCTTTCGGCTCGGAACTCATCAGCTTGATTTATTAATAGTCACCGTCACCCAGCAAAAATAATGCACATAGTTTTCATTTACATAAAATGTTCAGCCACCAGTGAAGAAAAGGTTGAGAAATTTTTTTAAATAAATTTCTTGGGGATTTGTGAGCTCTACGAAAATTGTTGTGATATTATACGGGCTACATACTTAAATATATGTTCAGTCAAAAAGATACACACCATTTTGCAAAACAATATAATTCTTGCAAAAGTTTTGGCAATCATTCTCCAACACCAGTTTTACCAATATCTTCTGGTTAGTAACCAGTGGTTACGATTTTTAGTGCTTGGTTTTAGACTTTTCTGTTTACGGCTAACAAAAATGTTCAGCATTACGTTTTACGCTCAACTGAAGCATCACTTAAAGCTATCCTCGTACTGCGCGGCACTTCCGTTTTACTTCAACACGAGGACGGGACGGGTGACAATGATGACGTCGCGATGGGCCATCCTACTGCACAAAGTGGAACTTGGGTCTACTCTGATCTACACAATTTTGCAGTGCGTCATGACGTTGACGTCGTCATACCCGGAAACGAATAAGTATATCGCGATGGTTTTTATTTCCGTGTATGGGACGGGATTAGGGTTGCGATTTAGCTGGACGATGGACCCTGTCCCGATGGAGTTTATGAACTCTTTGATGCAGTATGAGCGGCAATTGTTGGATGGTAAGTTTTTCTGTAATTCTTGACAAATTTGGAAAAATTTTGAATGTAAATTAAATACTTCTGTAATTCCTTAAATTAAACAAATTACGCATGAAACAAATGTGTAACACAAATGAGTGTATGCTAAAGATGTGTAGCGTACTATCGGTTGGACTGCAAGTTTATTTCAAATTTCGTGACCTTCAAGGTCTAAAATCGAGGTCACGACTGAATTCGGGGTTACATTTTCCATTGAATTTAAATATCTGTTTGACCTTCGGTGAAGTTTTAGACATTTTTGACCTTGACGGTTGTGCCCATCTTCGAAATACTAAGTTTCTAACCCTAGGAAATTTTCGTTCTTGCGTTTAATCGGACAGATGGACAGACAGACATAATGATTTTAAGTATAAAGGTCTTACACCCCGTAATAATTGATTAACCCATCGCTGGTGGTGGAAAAGACATGATTCCAGGTTTCGTCAGGATTGGCATATTAATCGCGGAATTCGTCATGTTTTGTCATGTCTGCATTTCGGCTGCCTTCTACATCACGCACGTCTTGTTTCCCGGTCTAATCTGTACGTGGGACTATATCAGGGTTGTGGATAGTTGGTGAGTTTAAATTCAAGTACGTACAACGGAGGTCTCCCATGCTCACGGATGCTCACGCATTTGGAACAAATTGTCGTTAATCGATCGAAAATTTAGTAAGTATGAAATATCCAAATGACACCAGCCGCCAATGCGCAGGTTTAGGGAAGATATTTGCATCTAAACAATGAAAAATACACAACAAATTTAGAAAATGTATAACTTGTCAACATTGAGGCCCTTTTTCTCCTCTTTGAATATAAATTTTTTCACCTAACCTTTGCATTGGCAGACAATGTCATTTGCATATTTCATAAATTTATTAAATTTGTGATCGATTAACAACAATTTAGTCAAAATCCGTGAGCATACATACGTTGAGAGACCTCTGTTATATGTAAAAAAAAAATCACGCGAATGGGTACTACAAATACAAACATCCAGTGTTGAATTCGATTTCCCGAAAATTGCCAAGTTTTTTCATGCAGTCATAAAAGGAATGTTTAAAAGGTACTCAATTGCACCCTCAAAATTTCATATTAAAAAAATATACTAAATCCAAAGCAAACTTTACTTTTTATCGAAGTTAAACTTACATTTAGAACAGTTTGCTTAATACATAAATGGTAAATAATTTGCAAAGATATTTATGTATCTCATAAAGAGGAAAAGCAGATAAATTTCGCACAAAAATTGTATTCAGAATAAGATATGTGAAAATTAATGAAATTTGCACTAGAAAATTGTCTGCAGACTAGTTTTCCAGGACTGAATTTTCATATATGCAAAAATTACATCTTTCTAACCGAACAAGGATTCAATTAAATATGCCACTAACTTTGCAAGGGGAACATTTCCGAAATCTCGAAATGCATCCAAACCTACAGAGAACTTCGTATCATAGAACTCCTAAACAATCTGACCAACCGGACCCGCGTCCTTCCCGCATGCGCCATTGGGTTTCCCGCCATACAATTTTTCTCATTCTACGTGTGCGTTCGACTGCACGACAAAATCCCACCGGCAGCATTTATCATGTTCCCGACCGCCTACTTTGACTGTTTCCTCTTCACCATTGTCATCTTTACGGCGGCTGCGAGAGTTTACACGGGGTCGGAGAATCTCCTCAAAAAGTGGGAACGGAAGTTTCCCCACGTGCAGAGGAAGTATGTCATGAGGAAGACTTTTATTTCTTTTCCGCCGCTAAAAGTTCGAATGGGAGGGAATTTCGTGGAAGCTTTTACTCCACTGGTCGTGCAGGATTTTTGTGTTCGGACGACTGCATCGATGCTGATGTTGTCGCAGTGAATTTTACATAAATCAGCACTACGGACCACAAATCGACACTCACGTTACCAAAGTTTTAAGTGCAATTACCCACTTAAAAGAACTAATGACAAGGAACTCATTTCTTGCAACTACTTTGACATGCAAAAAACCGCTTCCCGCAGCTATAGTTCGTAAGATGCGTCGCTTGTTATAGTGACTGGTAGTTAGGAAAAATTATTTTTGGGTTTAAGCCCGACGAAGGGCTTATATACCCGTGATGTCTGTCCTTCCGTCTGGTTTGCGATAACTCCCGTAAAAGTAGTTGGGTCGATTTGAAATTTGGCACGCACTTAAAGCATGCCATATTATGAATTATGTTCGAAGATGAGCAAAATCGGTCAAGTGCTTGACCGGTAGGGGTCATATGAGTGATTTACATCTATGGTGACTAAAAGTCAAATGGTTGTAGGAGGGTGAAATTTACCCATTTCTCCAAGGACTGAAGGCATCTTGGACTCGTATATTGAATAACCGATCGATTACTTCTAATTACGTCACCACCCCAAAAATATTTGTTGTGCCGAGCCACATCTGTCCCAACATATTCCTGTTGAAGGGGACACTGGCACTGCAAATATCATGTACCGTGGCTGAGAAGTGTCCTGCTGCTACACATATAAGTAATTCATCCGTGGAAATGAGTCTTCTATGGGGGTTAACATTTTTAACCGTGTTAATTCTTACAATTACAACTTCTCTTAATTCTAGTCGGCCAATTGTTATGAATGATACCACCCGTGATGTTATTTAGATCGTCAATAAATTCGTCCGCCAAAGTCACCAATTGCTCAAAAAATTCGAGAAATTCGGACACCCGTTAGTCATTTTGCGTAAATTATTCATGCACCGTCAGCTTGGACGAAAACAATCAAGTCTATGATTACTGTAGTTAGCTCTTTTCCTTAATCATGACCTTCAACCCTATAGATACAAACACGACATTAATTTGCAAGTTATTAAGGAAGAGGTTAAATGATTAAATTCAATTTATAATTTGTGGATAAGATGACTGCGTGGGCTCGATTTCTTGTGCAAACGCGTTTGCCGGGACAGCGGGGGTGGGGACCCGTTTTTTTAGGGGTCCCCTCCCATAAGCCTCATGTGATATTTTCCGGGATGGTCCGCTCCCGTTTGTCGGGACAGAACCAATCGAACCCACGTATGACTGTATTAAATACTGTTCAGTGACATATATACGTGTAGAATTTGCAATTATATTCCGGAATCTAACAAAACAATTTAATTTTAAAGTTTAGATTAATCTCTGTTGACACGTGAATAAAGGATTAACAAACAAACAAACAAACAAATCTTCTTAGGTGGATAATAAATAATAGTCCTCATGCAAGCAGGAAGAATCGAAATAAGCAACAGTAATTAAATTTACCTATTCATGCAATTAAAATTTTCCGGGTGCATACGTGCACGTTGAAATGGCAATAAATAGTTGAGAACTCCCTATAACTTCCGGATACGACCACTGTAATAAGTTTCATAAAACGTACATAAAACTCCAAGAATCTTCTCAAATGGAACAATATTTTAGAAATATTTTGCTATATAAGAAATACACAGCTTTAATAATCGAAAATAGAAATTTCAGTTCATTTGTTGCCACAATGTGTAATCCCTAACTGTCATATATGCTGTTCAGGGTGATACATATATTTATTAAGTAGCGCAAGCTACTTTATGCGATCAGTTAGTTAGTCTGTCTGTCCGTCTGTCTGTCTGTCTCTCCGTCTGTCTGTCTGTCTGTCTGTCCGTCTGTCAACACTCAAACTCGAGAACGCATCAAGCTAATCGAAATCGGTTTGCGACATCATACATATGACTCCAGGGGGAGGATCCCGTAAACTTTTCGACCACACCCCCTCTTCGCCAGGCGGTGTGGTCGCAGTGTGATCGGGGCAAAATGAGATTTATAGCGCAAATTAATCTATGGATGAAATCCAGTTAAATTAAGTGTATCTGAGTTGTGCCACACCCCCTCGGCGCCAGGGGGTGTGGTATCGGTGTCACAATTTGTGCAAAACATGTTTTTCGGTGTTGTCGACATTTTGCAATATGGCGACTAAGGTCACGACCCAGTATTCTCAGCATTTTTGCGTTACTTATGTATCGTGCTTTGCCGCACTTTATTTGTAATTGTAATTTGCAATTACTAATTTGTCCAGGTCTTATATATACACACAAATGAAATTAGTGGTCTTTATTTACCGAAGATAAATAGGAGCAAAGTATCAATGCAAGTCTGTTAGGTGTAAAACTCAGATTTATGATTGATAATTGTCTTCGCTACACATCACAGGGTTCAACAGTACTCAGACGTTGTCTCCATGTCCCAGATATTTAAGTCCCTCGCATTGTTGTGGAGGGACAATGACTCCCTGCAGGCCCACCTGCACTTCATTCAACCCTTTTCTATATTTGGCCAACCCTTTCCTTAGCACACTATGAATAAGAATGAGGTTAATGACTCGTTAAGCACTGGAAATGCTACATTTCAGAGTTATATTTACGATGCTTAATCACACTCTTAAAAATAATGTTACCCATTGGAAAAGTAAATTCTCTCGGAATTCAATATTAAATAAACTATGCTAAATCTTGACAAACATTTACTCTTTATCAACTCAACGTTCCTATGGATTTAGTTAATATAACTCAATATAGAATTCAGAGTTTACTTTTCAAATGGATAGCATTATTTTTAAGAGTGTAAATATGTACCCGTCGTCGTCGTGCTCGTTTTGTCGTTCGAGTCTTCACTCCATTTAGGTCAGCCGTCAGAGAAGTTGCAAATTTTAGGTTTTCCGGGTCATAAAATATCGATTTCGACTCCCAGCCCGTGACAAAGGGTGCAATAAATAGATTTCCGTGCTTCTCCCAAGTATTTATGCCAATTTCTCCATGTCTGCACCAACCAGGACTGGAATATCGTCACATGAAGCTCTCGGAAATCCAGTGGTACGTTCAAATCCTCATAATTTGTAGAAACTCTGACTTAAAAATTATCTTTCCCTACAGCATTTCTCATTTCATTTAGACCTTAATAGGACTATAAATATGTTAAAAAACCAGTTTACATAAACATTATGACGCTAATTTAAATTTAATCTAAACTTGAAGCTAAGTAATTTAGATTCAAACCTAAATTGCATTTAAGAATGGATAGTGATTTTCTTCTAGTTTGATATAAAAATAATTTCATCACAGGTTCTTCAAATGCATGGCTGGTTTAAAAAAATATTATCATAAATCGCGTTGATTGAATTCGTCCCGGTTGGTTTTTGATAACCTGACACAAATTTACAATTTTCAGAACAAAGAAATTCATCTCTGCTAAAAAAATGTCGATCTCGAAGTTTTCACTATTTCTTGAAGTACAAGCTTTCAAATATCGACAGGATAAAATCGTGTCGAATTAAATCATCACCCTTCATATTTCAAATATATCATAACCAGCGGATAAGCCCATCTCCCTCTGGGCGGTACTTGACATGTATTAGTATCTACAGATGAGAAGAACTCGGATTTGAACCCTCAGAAAAACTTGGGTAGGATTACTACTAGAAAGTAATCGTACGGTAAGGTGATCAATTTGTTTTCTAGTGGTTCCGAATTCTCACCAACTGGTCATACTGGTTATCACCAGTTGGATTAAATTTATCACCTTTTCAGTAGAGCCATATACGTTAACTTTTTGGTTATAAACGTAACCCAATTTCTCTGTGCACCATATCCGACTCATCTACACAGATGCGAGTTAAAAAAAAAATATACATAAATAAATAAATTTGTACACACATAAAGTCTGCCGTAAAGTGACGAAAGTAATTATTATTTTATAACAATTGCTGTATACCCGTGCAGCTAAACAAATTGCTAATATATGTGGTAAATTTCCGATCAAGCTGTAAATGAATACAAAAAATGAAAATTATTTTATATCCATTGTAATATTATCCCGTGACGCGTTCGAAGCGTATGTGACAGCACTGAATCTCATGAACTTCACAGTCGTCGCCACACTACATAAAATCTGGTTGAGTCACATATGTAGTTACAGGAGGGTATTGATTTGTTCCAACTCCCTACCGCATTGACTGTTTCTGAAGGATTGCAAAATTATTTACTAGGGCAATATTAGCAATGGAATGGCAGTTATTATTTATTATTTGAGTCTACATAAGTGCTTCAATCACTTGGGGAATTACAGTTTTAACATGTTCACAATTCTAGTAATAAGCGCACAAAAAAATCGAGCAAAATTACTCAATTTTGAGCGAAATTGCCACCAAGACAACTATTCAGTAAAAGTTACCCAATAAAAGTTAAAATTTATCCAACTTTGAAACATTTTTGCTCAACCTTGAGTAAATTTTTACTTTGGCGCGGTATATTCTACTCAATAGTTGTCTTGGTGGCAATTTTGCTCAACTTTTCTTTACAGTGTGTTTCATTTTGTTGCTACAATTTATGCAATGTACCCGTGCAAGCCGACCTTATAGATTTCCCTTCCACAAACCAGTCCGCGCTGCCAAGAGTGGCATTATTTTGTTGGTTAAGAGAACGCGTGCTGGAAGTGTCAGAAGAAGGAAAAGTGACCGTCCTTGAGAACAGCGAGGTTAACTGCACGGTTGCAAAATGCTTGAGCGAAAGGACAGTCGTATTTGATATTTCCAACGCGAAGAGAGGTAAGTTATTAAAAGGGACACTTCCGAGGTGCCCCTCGCGTTAAGATATGTCGTTTTTCAATCTACCAGGACGCTGGATTAAGGGTTCAGTCATATTTATATACAAGTACACAAGCCCGCCAAGTCCGCCACGCCAGTGGCGTGGCTGAAAATAAATTCGGTTTCGACCAATTTCAAATCGCCATAAATTTTGCAAATTCCCCGGAATTTTCAAAATTTTGACCTCATAATGCTCACGAGGGTCAAGATTTCACGAAATAAACGAAAAATTAATTTTGTTTATTTTTTGAGATATTTATAAGATTTTCTCAAGAATACAAATGTAATAGAATATTTCAATATGTTCCTAACAATTGAAAAAATTAATTTGTCGAAAAACGCAGCTACTTTTGAAAGTTGTGCTCTTTGTTATGGCGCCAAGTATGACTTTTGCACGGAAATATTAATGAATCCTTCATCTATGGCCCCAGTAGATTCAAAAAAACGTAGTGGATACCCAGAACATAATGGGCACCTCGGAAGTGTCCCTTTCTCGAAATAACGTGACATTATATCACAACGATGGTATCAACTACAATGTAAAGCAGCACACCGATTTATTCTCCTTACTGGTGTAAATTTCGTAATAATTCCTACTGGACTTGTAATAGTTTATTTCTGAGTGGTAAATACGTCTTTGCCCTTGTTATAAAAATTGAGAATTAACCTTATTGGATTTTGAAAATCCAGTTAAATCAAGTGCGAGAAAAAGCCGTAAGCTCGGCCAGAATCGAACCAACAACCTTTCTAAGGAATGATATTTAAATTTTTTAAACAGATCTGCATGTAGATGACCCAATTGGTGGAGCTACCCTGAAACAGGTCATGAGCATTCTTTGCATTGCTAAAAATGCGATCCGATTCAAGTATTATGGACAACTTGTGAGTTTAATAATATTGAAACTTTATATACGAATACATTTAACTTTACCTTGAACAGCCCCTAACCGATGTCACTTTCATGGAAGAGTACAACGGAATTTTGAAACGATTCATTTCAACAGTCGACATTCCGTACGAGGAAGACAAAACGGGGAATTATTCTTTCACGATAAATAATTTACACTCAAAACATAACAGTTCCTGGTTCAGTCTGTACTTCTCAGGTAATAATACAAAATACTGTAATGATTATGGTTTTATTTTAGAAGGAAGACATCTGTCCTCTAGAGGATTTGTATATAAAAAACGTGTGTTTCTTAAAAAATTAAACCGTAATGTTTGTGGATTTGAATTCAAAGTCAGGCTAGTTAGTACACCACTTAACTGAAGTTTTAAAATGTCCCAAATTGTAAATAGCTGTTCAAGCCACAGTGTGGATCCACAAAGTGGACTTTGGGGTGGAATGTGGATGATAAAGTTTTTCTGTGGATTGTGCTTTTGTGGATTGTAGTTGTGGATCAGTCTGTAGTTTTGCGGATTTGTGGATTGTAGTATTGTTTTTTTGTAGCTGAAGTTTTGTGGCATACTTGTGGACGACTTATGACTTAAACTTAGGAGATGTAAGGCGCTTATCTCCGATTCCTATTTTCAGGGACTAGTTAAATTATCCAAACTTGGAAATAACCGGAGCATAATTTTTGTGTACTCGTATGTTTTCACTTCTGGCGGAATTATAAAACAATTCAGCCTAAATTCCGATTTTTTAAAACACTATAACCTTTCGAATTTTAGCCATTGTGGATTGTAATTGGGGGATGAGTTTTTGGATTGTGGTGAGATAAAGTGAACAGCTTCTCAAACAGAATCTCAAACATTTGAGATTTCATGAAATATTCATCCTTACGTAGCTATTTTTCCCGCCCAGATCAAACACAAGCACATTTCATCCGCCCGCCCCATCCTGTCCATGCGTTTCGTTCCGAACGTCTGGACGTTGGCCAAACGGAACTTGGGATTAGTAGTGATGGCAATAAGGATAGTTTCCGAGTCATAATTCCTTGCAGAATTAGTAATCCCGATCAAATTAGCGCGGTTGGGTTGAAGGTTGTTACACATTTAGAGGTAATTTTTTACACCATTTTTTTTACTAAATACTTCACGTATTTATTTCAATTGTAGTGCTTTCATATATAAAATTGGTTTGCGTGGGACCTGATTTATTTTGTACACTACACGAAATAAGCATCCGCTTATTTTTTTGTTTGATTTTGTCAAATATTTTCATTTGCCAATTTGTGCGCGGGTTTTAAACCTCATTTTCACCCAAAACCTCGGGATTTACAAAGAACATTGCACACAAAGCACGGCAAATTGCTCGTCGGTTCGAATTGGCTGATTTTTTGATATGTTATAGCCCTGAAGTTGCTTAACATTGTTCAAATTACCCTCAAACCGAATTTCGACCTGCATCACCTAGTTTTTACCCGTTAGAGGTCACGAGGTCAAGTCTCATGTACCCCCTAAATGTTGTATCCTTGGAAAGGTCGACGAGAGGATTCAGAAAATATATACTTTGCAGGGTGTGGGACCACCCCTTGCTGATTTGGAGAAATATCATTGAGTTTTTGTCGATCCACTGCTGTGTTAGCTCTTAATCTCCCCCTGTGTTAACGTCTGCATACCTGCAAAACCCAAATTCAATAATACTCATCGGTCTCTAACTAATCAGGGGGTGGTCCCAGACCCCACAAAGTATATATTTTCTGAATTCTCTCCCAAGACCTTTCCAACGACACCCAATTTATAGGGCTATGTGAGACTTGATCTGGTGACCTGTGAGGGGTGAAAGCTAGGTCATGCAGGTCAATTTTGACTTTTGGGGTAACTTAAACATTGTTCAGTACCAACAGGGCTACAACATATCCAAAAATCAGCCAAATAGAACCGTCGAGCATTTTGCCGTGCTTTGTGTGCCATGTCCTTTTGGAACTTTTCAGATTTTGACGGGTTCAAAAATTCTAAACACGTTTCTTCCAAATATCGTACTTGGTCCCAAGTGAATCTCAGGTTTACCAGTGAAAGACTTGCATTGATACATGGATAGACTACACATGTTCAATAAATAATATTAATTGTTACTCATAATTGCATATTTTTATTCAAGAAACCTGCAGGACTTGTTGATGTTCAAACAAAAACTAGTTATAATCCATTACTTGGATTTATCATGAACACTACAACTTACGAAGACATTTTACAACATTGGAATATTTTCTCATTTCAATGTTTCCTCCGGATTGGAAAGAGTACTCAGGAAACTCTCAATGTCGGTTTGCTACCAAGTAAATACTAGAGTTTAACAATTAATTGCAAGTTTTGTTTTCAAAATATTGAGCAAAATATTAATTCTCAGGTATCCAGCAGCTCGTTGATGGGGACCAGCACATAAGCATAACCGCTGTAGGTGTTAAGCGCCTTCGAGTCACGTGTGATCCACGCAAAAACTGGAATTTTGTAATTTTCATGCCGGTCAAAACTGCATTGGATTCGGGACTCTTAGGAAATTGGGACGACGAGGTTGTACAATTAGATTCCTATTGATTACAAATTCATTAAAACACACTTGCAATACACAAATACATTTACTCAAGTAGGGCACTAGCTTCCAGTTAAACTCCACGTGGACAGTACCAGGAAAACGCTATCCAAACGAAATTTCCACGTCCTGTAACACCGAAAATTGTAGTGCTATTTATAGCACAGAATCAGCTAGAGTTTCCTGTCATGGCGACAATCTGAGGAGGACGAGTGTTATCGAGACAATACAATAATTCCTCAACTACAACACCCGCAAATTCCACCTCAGCAGGGTCCACATAATTCTGCTGCTGTCACAGCACGAGACGAAATTGCAGCTTCATGGATAAGGTAATTAGTCGAGTCAGAACCTATTAATAATTATATTTATAAGAGTTAAGACCGTCTATTTTGCACAGATGAGCGCTGCAATTCCCACTACGCATCCAAAGGCAAGCCGGCGACCAAAGTTTTCCGAAGATGAACTTGTAGCACTCGCCAGGGCTATTAAAGATAGAGACCATATCATCAGCGGAAAATTCCAAGGGGCGAAAGCGTCAAAAACCAACAAAAACAAGGCTTGGGCGGAGGTTGTGGATGCAGTTAATGCTGTTGGAGGTATGGGACGGACACAAGAGGAAATAAAAACAAAACACAAAAATTTAAGAACTTCTACAAAAAAAGTTGAGACTGAAAATAAAAGAGAGATCTTTAAAACCGGAGGTGGCAAGTCGAAGTTAAAGTCTCTAACCGAAAGTCAACTAATTATCCTCGAAACTCTGCCAAGTACACTATTAGATGGTATACACGGTGGTATCGATTTGCACGATCCGTCCTTCAAGCTGCCGAAAGGTTAGAAATAATGGTATTGACTCATAATTTGGCCTTTACTCACTTTTTTCTATTTGTAGTTCCTACTCCAACGAAGCAAGATGAAGACGACATGGACTTATTAGACCTAGACGAGATTGGACCGCAAGTACGTCAACCATTTGTCCCAGGCAGGTCGGAGCTACAACTTGCGGCGCAAACCGTGGCAAATGCGTCTGAGGCGGCAAGTTTAGGTGAACCGGTGGCTCACTGCTCAAAAACGCTTCCACAGCTTGAAACCTCTCGTACTATTTGTGAGACCCCTAAAAGAAAGCATCGGAAGTTGGAAGTTTCGTCAACAGAACAACTTTTACGAGAACAAGTTGGTTTAATGAGAAAACAGGTAGAGGTCATGTCAGATATTAAAGAACTAATGGCGGAACGTAATCGAATCGAACAGGAAAAGTTGGATATTAAAAAGAGGAAATTTTCAAGTAATTCACCAATGTTTATGAGTACCGACTAGTTTGTCTAAGTCAATGCCATGTTTACTTCACAATTAGTTGTATAAATAAAGGTTGTAACTCACATAGGTATGGTTGTAACACTTTATTACGATAATTGCAATTTATAATATATATTTTGGGTATTTATTATACTTTAATACATCTTCTCACAATAATGACACTGACACCCAATTTTAAATTCATTACTTGGCATGCAAAAACGTTTACCTAATTTATCCATGTCCTTTAATTTAATTGCCTGACTAAAATCAATTTCCTCCACATTATGTCTCACATTAACAAACCCAAATCTTTTTTTTAACGGAATATATCCTTCCATGAAAATTTTCATTGTATATATTGCATCAGTTATTGCGTTATGAGGTTTTTTAAACTGGAAATCTTCTTTAAAATGATAGAAGTAGACATCACGAAGGCTCATTGGCTGGGTTTCGTCAGATACATCGGGTTGGGTCGTCTATAGAACATTTGTAGATCAAAGAGTTCCCCATATTCATCACGTTCAAGATCCATACACGATAAGTCCCCTTGTCCCGCAACAGTGATTACTAGTTTATTGTCGAGAATGTCCTTTACTTTTCTTTTGACGATTAGCCAGTCTTTTAATTTATCTAAAGAGTATCTCGTGATACCGCTAACGGCGGAATCCAGTGGGCCGTCAAGAAATGCACCCGGTTGGTGATAAACATCACTCTCCAAAATTGTCTCATACTTGTGATCAACAATGCCGATTTTCCCAGGCTTAACACGCGCCACCCCTTTCACGTTTCTCAAGTTGACTTTCTCCACATCCAATCCCACCACCTGACTCTTCTCAAAGCTCGTCCACCAGGGACGAAGTGGCTCCTCTCCCCCAGGTCTCGACTCACATGGTGGTCGTGACTCTGGGGGAGGGGTCTGTACGAGGGATTTTTTCTTAGCCTCCCACGTTACTCCGACCCACTTTCGCTTCTTCGTCTGCCCATTTCTAGCTCGGTGACCAAGTATATTTTTTAGATGGTGGATCTCCTCCGAGTTCAGTGATTGGGCGAACTTTTTGAGAAAATCTAGCTTCTGGACCGACTCTCCATAACTGTCCCAATTAAGCACGGCATCCTGTAAAAATGAGTCGACACCATTTAGTTGAGTTAAGACCATTTTCGGAAAAATTATTTAAATTGTTAATTTACTTGCTCAGCAATGAATAAAGGATTCATCGTTCAGGGGCGAGCTCCTAATAAGGATGATTATTATTATTATCTGTGGGAGGAGGACGAAAAAATTATTAGAATTGTTATTATTGTTGAGTGGGGAGAGAGAAATGATTACCTCGTCGCGGAGAACTAAATTTTAAAAGTGGAGGTGGTGGTGGTGGTGGTTATTCTTATTATCTGTGGGAGGAGGAGAAAAAATTATTAGAATTGTTATTATTGTTGAGTGGGGAGAGATAAATGATTACCTCGTCCCGGAGAACTAAATTTTAAAAGTGGAGGTGGTGGTGGTGATTCTTATTATCTGTGGGAGGACGACGAAGAAATTGTTAATGACGGTGGGGAGAAATAGTTGATTTTATATCAAGGAATTGAAGAGAGTGTGGCGAATTTGGGAGAGGTATGATGCTTGCGCTACATTTGCGCAGGATTTAGTCTCATGAAAAGTTGAGACTGGTTTAAGCTAAAACTCGAGTTGAGCCAATCCGAAAAAAATCCGATCAGGGCTCTGGGACGCTCCAAAAAACGGACTTAAACCGCGCTCAAATCAAGACTAGCTTAACCCGATGTTTAAGCCGGGGCTCTGAGAGGGGCCCCAGCAAGAAATTGTCGCCTCATGTATTTTTCTTTGCATTGTGCCTTGCCAGTAACACAATACGGCGTAGATAAACGTTATTTACAAAATGAAGCTTTAACAGTCTAATCTTTACGACGGGTGATTAAAATTAACTTAATTTATAATCGCACCATATGTCAGGTGATGAAGTAATTAAGATCGGATTGTTTTGCAGGGCATGGCCACTGTTCGATCTGCATAAGAATTTGCAGCATATATTTTACATAATATTGTGACCATTGATTAAAATTTCTTCCCTTCTTTCTCTACCAAAAACTAGTTTACAATAAAAATGCTAAGCAATCCATATTCCATCTTTCTCTTGCTGGCTTGTAATTTAATATAAAACTACTTGCAGAAGGCCCCATGCAAAATGTGTATTATTATTCATAAATTGATTTCCCAAAATTTTGACAAATGCATGCATAGAAGGGTGAGATGTACATAGTGTCACACAATAACACAGATTGCAACGTAAACCATTTATTTCTGCATTTACCCTTCTATAGCCCAAGTCAGGACTTATGTAACCGTTATGTTGTCTATATCTGTCTGTCCGTCCGATAATCATATCATATCTAGCTGAAATTTGGAATATAGGCTGCTAATTGCCACTAATGGAAGAATATCCATTTAGATTGGAAAAATTAGTATTTTTTAAATTTATTGGTATGCAATAAAATTTCGCATGGCATATTGAGTGATAACCGCAACTGGGCCTGACTCGGGCTATATCAAGGCTGCACTGTAGGTTAACTGGCTGTTTTGTAATACAAATACAGAATGGCAAACTCATTGATGAATTATCTATTAAAGGACTAAAATCAATGGTTTCGCCGTGTCCTCACTAAAAATTCTAGGAAACATGACCGAATTTTAGCACGAGGTTTTTCCCCACCGCGTTCTAATTTTCGCACACCTTGCAAAACGTTGCTGACAGTTATGGCGCTATCAGCATCCAACATCAGCTCAATCGGATCATTTGTAAACATCATTATGAGTCACCCCATTGGGTTCAGCCCACACGGAAATTTATGCAACTATTATTCATATTCTTTCGTTGGCAACTATTTGGTAGTAACCCCCGTACCAAATTTCTCCTTTCTGCTACAATTTATAAACTTGTGGGCATAATAATATTATGTGCATAATAATTTTAATAATATCATATTATGATATTATTAATTTCCCACCCATATATATGATCCCTTCCTGCCCAAATCTTCATTGCAAATCTTATCAAACCTATCTGCCCAGACTCGAACCGAAGGACATGATAATTACACACGTAAACCCTGGTTGGGGTTGAAAATATGGAGATTTATGAGAAGCACAAGATTTATGCGAAAATCGGCGTCTTCGAAATTGGAGATTTTGGGAAATTGGAGAATTCTGGGTTAGAATTTTCTGAATAGAATAGAATTTTCTGAATAGAATAGATTTTCTGAAGTTTGCGATTTTGTGAAATTTGAGATTTGGGAACAATTTGAGATTTTGTGAAATTTGAGATAAATTTGAGATGTTGGGAAAATTTGAAAATTTTGAGAATTTTGAGAAATTCGGAAAATTTAAGAATTTTGGAAAAATTGGGAAAATTTGAGAAATTTGAGAATTTTGGGAAAGTTGAGAATTTTGGGAAATTTGAAATTTTTGGGAAATTTTACATTTTATTTGCTGCTCCAGATTTCGACCGCGGCTGCGGCCGCGGCCGACTTGTATGCTTCGCGGCTGCGGCTGAGTTGTACCGCGGCCGGGGCTGACTTGTACCACATGAATTTAACCAACAATAAGCTGTAAATTTAGTAAGCTACCACAACGATATATCGTCGCCGTAGATCCATAAAGTACCAGGACTAATGTTATAAGAGTTCGTCCTGGTACTTTATGGATCTACGGCGACGATATGAAGCCTCATTTTAAAATCCGCATCTATATAAATTTACACTTTCCATATAAATAAGCCATATAAACAGCGTCAAAATTTTTTCAAACTTTTACGTAATTTTCCCAATTTCAATTTTTGTTAAATTTCATTGAAATTGTGAAAATTATGTGAAATTTTGAAAAAAATTAGAAATGGAACAAATTATGTAAAATTTGTAAAACATTTTGAGGCTGTCCAAACTACTTATGAACCAATATTAAATATGCACGTCCAATAAACTTTTTAATGAGTGAGTAAATAACATCTCGGAAATAATGAATTGTTTATTTAAAAATTTGCTGGATCTTGCTCGATCGCATAACTTTTTCAAGCATAAAATGTATATAAAGCTAGAAATAGGGTTTGTAAATATATCCCACGAAAAGTACAAACATCAGCAACAAGAATGGAAAGGCCGTATCCGATGTAAATTTTGCCAATAGAATTTTCGACACGCGTTTCAAAACCTTCCTTACAGGATTTGGACTGTCCACTAGCAAAGTGGATGGCACGGTGATGATTAATTGTAACAAATTTTCTGGAAGCTCGATGATATCGTCAAGTTCTCTAAGTTTTTTAATTTGTCCAGCCGCCCAAGTATAACAGTTATGACCTACTTCATCTTTATAAGAGTGTGCACTGCTTTGAGCAAGAAGGCTTTCACTGCCAGCTACATTAAAGGGTGGCGGATTTCTCCAGGATTCTAAAACGTTTTGTATAAGCTTGTTCGCAATGTCTTTTCTAATCATCCATTTTTCGCCCACTGGTTTTGTATTTGTTAATCGCATCAGCGCCTTAATGCCAAAGTGCAGCAGGGGAGAACCCAATTCATCCTTGTTACCGAATGCAGCATCAATTTGAACTTTCCCTTTGTAAAGTCCAGGATTTTTGATGTCATCTTTGTGTTGGGTGACAAAATCGAAAAAGAACGTTTTATTTTGTTCGCCCTCTCGGCCTTCAAGTACGAGGAAGGAATGCTGTGGATGCTTTGCTTCTTCTGGGCGACGGATTAACCATAGAACCCAAATGTCTTCGGTAATCATCAATTTTGAGTCGAGTTCACTTCTTCGGTGTGGTAGAGGGCTATTCGTCTGTGAATCCGGTTCGTCTCGGAGGCGTTGGGAATTGGCGATTTGGTTTTGTTGTGGGATTGTGCTGCTGCTCCCTGGTCTTCGCTGGTCTTGATTTCCTGTGATCATTCGTTCAAAAGCTTGGGTTAGGATTTGATTGCAAATTTATCAAAAATAATTGGCATGGTATATATCGAGCGGAAGGGGACAATTTATTTTGGAAACACAGAAATTGCAAAATAATGCCCAGCATAGAGGAGTAAGATGCTCGCAGGTTCTGAGCTCAAGATTTTTATATGTAGGACGTCTTTATGAGTGTGCACAAAGTGAAGGAGGTTTAAACTCCTTGACCTCTTTTATGTTCGCCAGACAAACTTAAAGGTGCGAAAACCAACCATCAACTAAAACACAGCTTCATCGGATTTTGATAATTTGACATTTCCTTAATCGCAAATAGTTGCTTTATCATATCGAACAGCATTTCAGCTTTTCTGAAAATTTTCTGAAGAGAGTGTTGAAAAATTGTTAAATTTAAAAAAAAGTTGAGTTTGTTAAGGATATGATTATTTCATAATAAACTAGCTGCGGACAAGTTTTCTATACAATCGGGTCGGGTTTTGAGTGGGTGGATTTTAGGATTGTCCGATCCGTCTCATCTCTAAAATCCACCACACAATTCAAGACGTTCGTAAGTCCCATCCCATCTTAATTTTCATTTCACTAATTTCCACTTCTACGCATCAAAATATGGGCAAAATGTAAATATTAGACGGTCACTTGATAACGTTTTTTACACTTTTGGGTAGGGTTTGACTAACGCAAGTGGAACAATGGGGTCAAATCCTTCAAGACCTTTTCTGCATTCATAGAGCCCTGGCCAGAGTATGCAAAAAGGCGCTTTTTTGGGAAAAAATTCATGCCTTTTTGGCGTTTTGCTTTTTTCATTGCCCAATTGCCTTTTTGCCCGTTTGATGCCTTTTTGCCTTTTTCCGTATGTTCCTATGGGACACTGCCTAACAATTTTGCTGCGTACTAGGTAACAACATAATTCTCTTTCTATTTATATTTTTCTGAATCGTTACCAACTTTTCACTTCCACACAAATACTCCACAAGATTATTTTCTCACATGCTCATGATAATTATAAGCATTTATGAATATTTATATACCTCAGGATGTGTATAACTTGTTTTATGGTGTCCAAAATTATTCAGATCGCTCAAATCAACATAATTAAATTGTTCACTTGTCTACAAATCCGGTGAATTATACAAGATTACAGGTTACATATCATACGATCATATAATCACATTGCCCCGATTTTACCAAAAAGGCAAAAAGGCATTTCGGGCAATCGGGAATGCCCAAAATCCATGTGCCTAATAGGCAAAAAGGCATTTTAGGCACGACATGCCTTTTTGCCCTTGGACACTCTGGCCCTGGCACATCAAATGGGCAGCAAAATTTGGCGCTGACAACCTCTGACTCCCTTCCGTCCCCCTAAAGCATTGAAATTTTCCAGGGTCCGCACTGGAGGTGCGACCGCTTCTAAATCCGTCGGAATTGGGGCGGGACCCAATTCTACAATCCTGGCTTGTATGCGTTCTAAAATTAATTAATTAAGACTGACATTTATTTCATTGGATTAGAATCGAATTATATTTATCCCACCTGCGGCATCCAAATTTTTTAACGACTTCAAAATACTGACAAGTTGTTCCACCGTAGCACTACTTGCGTTGATTTTTTGCCAAGCCTGCAAACCTTTGTGCACTTTATCCCAGGCTAAATCATAATTTTTATTTATATCTGAAATCGTATAGTCACTGAGGCCCAGCTGCCAGAAAAATCGATGTAAGTCATTAGTAAAGTATGCACTCTCGAGTAAAGTGTCTACCGCGAGAGTAGTATTAACCAATCGAGTCAACTATAAATTAATAATGTAATGAATTAAATACGTCTCTTAAAATAAGCGTAATTATTGCTCCAATAAATATATCAAACATATATAAAATACGTATTTATTTGGATAGAACTTACCTTCATTCCTAGTCAATTTTTAGATATTCAAAGAAACTGTTGCGTTTAGAATTTGCTTGGAGACACGATGCATAAAATGGCGATTAGGTGCGGCCTGAAGCGAGTAGAGATAGTTGTGCAGAATAGTAAGAATGCAAAATAGAGTAAGCCTGCCTGCCAGGCAATTGACGTAATCCGCTGAAATAATTGTTTGATTCGAGATAACTAATCGACAATAGTTTAACTGATAAAACTCGAATAACGAAAACATTTTTATTGAATTAATTTAATTCGACTTACTCTCAAACCCCTGAAATAATGGGGAGCGCGAAATTAAAATCTCCCAGGATATTCACAATTTTAGGTTAATTGATATCAAATTTGATTAATACTAAATTTCCAAATGACACCATCCCTTCATATCAGATTTAACGGATATGTATTTGCATCCGAAGAGGAGAAAACACTTCACTCGTTTTATATTTACTTCTCGCCAGATGCAATATCTATGTCAAACAAGCTGACCAGTAAATTTGGAAAGCGTAAAATTTGCTCACATCAGGGGGCGTTTTCTCCCCTCCGGATGCAAATTTGCAGATAGTGTCTGTTGTAAATTTCATATCGATTAAATTTGCAATCCGTTGACATTGACAATTTTGGTCAAGATCTGAAACCATACGGTGGGCGACTTCTATTGAAAGCTTATCATATTCATGGTTGCTAATCTAATCAGTTCATTGAATTGAGCTTCCAACTCTGGCTACGGTAGGCATGCTTGTGTAAAGCCATAAAACGTTGACCAATCCCGACACAATTATGTATGATTCACAGTGACGTCGGTCGTTGCCAAACTACTGATAACTTATCAGTGATAATTGTGTCTACAATTTCAAGCCGGGATCGATGAACGCTTCGACGGGTTTTTGTGGCGTTTTGGAGTATTAAATCTCGGAAAACATCAATGCTTCATTTTTTTTAACGGGCTTTTGTGATTTTTTCCTGGTTTTTATGGAGCTTTTGTAAGATTTTGGGGCAGATTGAGACAAACTTGTTGAAAAACATATTTGAGAAAAACTAGTTTTACGGCCGGGACCTGCTTAATGCTCGCGGTCAAAACTAGTTTAAAGCTCGAATTAAGAGACTGTACTGTCCGCCGTAAGCTTTGCAAGTAGAAACTACTCTTACTTTAATGATCAAACCGTCTCAATTCTGCATTTAAGTTTCACACGTCCTCCGCCATACACATGGCAGAGGACGGTGTAGTTGATGGGCGTTTCTCGTGGTACTTAATGCTATGACTAGGTGGTTGTATCTTCGATGTGACCGTGTATTTAAGGGAGCAGTGCAGTGGTGACAAACTTGTTATTCCTGATGAAATTAGCTTTATTGTCATATTAATCATAGCAACCTTACAAACTTAAAGATGTTAGATTTTAAAATACGACGAGGGGACTAGAGATGGAACTTGTTCTTTAAAACCTTGCACGGCCAGATCATTAGGAAGCAACGACCTCATCACTATCCGTCAATTGTTTTAGCGCAACATATATTGAGGAGGTGTCGTGGGACGTATAAAGCGTAAATTTATTGTCGTGGAGTGATCAATTTCGTCATAGAGTTAGTTTTAGATATGATTTAATTGTATGTAGCATAAGTACTATTTATTATTTTCATGGAGCGTGTTCTTTGTGTGGGGCGTATTCTTTGCCGGGATGCGGATCAGAGAGTGCTAGCGGGAGAATGAGTAGGAAGGGGGTGCGTGGGCCCGTAGTTATAAGCATACATTTTTTAGGAAGAAGTTGAGTAGAAGTAAGAGAGAGAGAGGGGTGATTTGCTGTTCATGCCAAAAGTTTGATTGAAATAAAGCTCCAATTTAATTTCCAATAAATAAGTAAAGTTCAAATTTGGTTATTTTAATTGAGAGTTTAAGTTTAAGATTTCATCATCGGTAAAGAGCTGAAAGCATTTCTAAGTCAGTTTTTAGGGCATAAGTAGCCAAAGTTTAAGTCAAAGTAAAAATTAAGACGGAAGAGGAGCAAGTCCAGATAATTAAGTTTGTCACGAGGATATCTGGTCAAAGTTAAGTGCGACTCCCGTCACAGGAGGCAAGCTTCCCTAGTTGCCACTAGTTCAAGTCACACCCTTTCTCACGAAATTTTCGAAAATAGTGAAAATTTCAAAAAAGTTGAGATTGCTATTGGATATGATAAAGCAATTATCTGGGATCAAGAATATGTAACTTTTTTGAAAATCCGACCAAAATTGGATTTATGGTGAAGATTTTAGTGCGGCTAGTCTGGCATTTGGCGCACCTTGGAGTGGGTGTGGCGGGCGCATATGGGGCCATGGCATCAAACCGTTCAACATGTTTTGTTCTCTCATGAGGTACTACAGTGGAATCCGGTTATAGTGAATTTCAAGGGACCTAATGACCTAATGTATCAGGAATTCATTGTAGCCGAATTTAGTGAAAAGAATTTAAAAAATTGTGTTAGGTATGTACATGTGTATTAAGTACATATTCAGACTATATTTGTGAATGTAGAGCATTAATTAGTTGTAATAAACAGTTAAGAAAAAAATTAGCATTCTACATATGTTTGTACATAGCAAAAATTATTTAGTTATAAACGTAGAAATTAAGGGCCACTTAAAAATATTCGACGAGATTATTCTAGATCCAATTTTCGCAAGGCCGCATTTGCTTTATATTTGCAATGGCAGACAATGTACCAAATTATTATGTCGTAAGCCACCTGGCGTTTTGCTCCGGAGTTCGAAAGAATTTTCCAAATCTCAAATTTTCCTGTTTCGCTGAGGTGTGTATGTAAAATTGTGACCCTTTGTGCTAATTTTCTTACCATTTTACCAAATGTGCATATTTTTTCAAAATTCTTTTAGTGTCTTGTTAAAAACAATACGGGCAATAAGTGGCAATGAAACAAACTTTCCTCGGCAATATTTCGTGAGATAAGTTAAACCATAAACTCATTTACGGGAGCTTAAGAACTGAGTATGTATAATGCATAAGCATTAAGGCGAGTGAAGTGAATAACATTGTTTGAAAATATGATATGTACGAAATTTGAAATTTGAACGAAATTTTCGAAGATTTTAGTTAAAGTGGGTCTACTCTATTTAAGTTTCAACCACTAGATAATTTAGTGGTCGTAAATTCCAGAAGTTCAGCCAGTGGGAGACCACAAGTTATTAAGTGGGAAATTACATTTTAATAAGTGGGGCGTTAAATCTAACCCGAATACAAATTCAAAAACGGTTCTGGGAGATTTCTGCCGGGGAGGATAAGAATCGGCTAATTGTGAAAGCGCTGCATGGAATGAGACCATTTCGGGTTGATGGAGGTATAAATGAGTTACATTTCTACCTGTTGGACGATACAGTGATGACGACATATATGGCGAGTATCGTGGATTGTACATTTACTCTGCTGATGACTTTCAAGTGGAAATGTTTTAATTATTATCAAATATTTAAAGGAAATATTACATGTCATAAATACATATGTATATGATATTGTTCGCAATTGGTCACAATAACAACTAATCCTAAGTAGTTTAGGCATAGCTGCGAAGTATTATTGAAAGGCCAAACCAGAATGTTCCCCGAAGGTATAATCGACTAACAATGCGATGGTGTGAAGTGCAACTCTCAGATTTGGTTCAAAGTACATGTATAATTTAATTAATCATTGAATAAGTGAGAGTTTTGCTTATTTTTCTTATAAATTTATATAAAACATTAATTTATAAATTCACCAACGGCAAATGAATATGGAAAATCTTAACTTTCTTTCCACTTCCAAAGCGTTGGTAATTTTGATATCCAACTCGTTTGAAAACCAAGAAAAAGGCTCGTGTGAGGAGGAATATGAAATAGCCGAAATTTTATTGGATACATTGTCTGAAATTGTTAACGACTATAAATTTGTCGAAGAGGAAGACTTTAATTAAGGTAATGTGGATGCATAATTTTGTACGAGATGTATTATTTCTTATTTAAGCCGTAATTAATAAAATTTTATTCTGGTTATTTCGCATCACTGCATGCTTATGCTTGTGTATGAAGGTTTTTATGTGAGTGAGAAACTCGAGTAAAATTAATGCGAGCGGAAGAGAATGGAGGGGAGTTTGCTCCCTCCGCTTGGTAAAAATCGCCCATTTTTAGCCCGAACCAGGGCTTATGTACCCGTTCTGTCTGTCTGTCTGTCTGTCCGTCTGTCTGTGTTGCGATAACTCAAGAACGCTTTGGCCGATTTGGATGAAATTTGGAAGAAATGTGAATCTATGGAGTGTGACGTGCTGTATAGTTTTTGTGGTTGATCGGCCAAGTGGTTGACCGGTGGGGGTCATCTAGGTGGGTGGGGTATTATGCACCAAAATTTCAAAATTGTCGTAGAAAGCTGAAATTTGGTACAAAGCTTGTTTTGGGGGCCTGAGGGAATGTCCATATATCAGCTGACAATTTTTAACATTGGGGGATAGGCAAAATTTCCTATCCTCCAATGTTGAAAATTGTCAGCTGATTTATGGACATTCCCTAATGGAAGGGGATGAAATGAATTCGACCAAATTTTTATCTGGAGGGACCCTATTGGGTGACCCATACCGATTTTTCAAAGTCGTCTAAACGAGTTGAAATTTGGTACTGAGGGTGCTAGGGGCTTCTAATGAAAGAATATGAAGTGAAATTTAAAATTTTTTCAATCGAGGGGATCCTATGGGCTGACCCATACCGATTTTTCGAAATCTTTTAATCGAACTGAAAATTGGTACAAAGGTTGATAGTAGCTCAATATGGAGGAATATGAAAACAAATGGGAAAAAATTTCATCTGGAGGGTCTAGTGGGGGTGACCCCTACCGATTTATAAGCGTCGATTTTTAGAATTTGGTGTCAAGTATTTAAGACTAAGAATTGACGCTAAATGCAATATAGTACAAATTATAGTACAATACAGTACTAATTTTATAGGAAACTATTGACAAAAATGGGTTTACTAATCAAACCAGGTTCGGGCTAAGCAAAGCTGTACTGATAGGTTAATTTAAATATCTGTTGGAGTTGGAGTATTGAGCTTCAAATTCATAAACAGGCACCAAAGTTGTAGAATTCATTGAACTAATTTTAAAAAAGCAAATCAAATTATTTGCTCCTCCCAGGATAGAAACTGTAAAATCCGTTTAAAAAACTTTAAAATCGAGAAAATGTTTTCCACATACGTAAAACTTTTATGGATTTTTCACAATTTATATTTTGACAAGTTCCCTTTCCGCTACAAGCTTCCGTTGGAATACGTGCAAACTAAAAGGAATGGGGTGCGACTATCAAGAACTGAACTCCGTTTCCCGCTGGTGGTCTCATTTTTTCCCGCAATCCTCTTCGCCGCAGCCGTGTTCCTCTTCGTTGCTGGAACTTTTTTAAGGTTCCCGCTGTTAAAGAATTCGATGGGAGATGTAAGGATTTGTTCGTGGGTTTTGCTGGCGATTGTATGTTTCAGTGGCTTTGTTATCTACACGTTGTGGATGTTGGTGCATCCAACCGATGGTATTTTCATGCTGAACGAGATTTTCCAATGTGAAGAAGAATTAAAGAAATGTAAATGATCTTTTAAAAAAATACGCAATATTGTGA